CCCCAAAACCCCAAAACCCCAAAACCCCATAGTCAATGAATCTAGATTTTATCTGTTAATAAGCAATAAATAAATTATCGTGGGGCCCCCACCGCAATCTAAGTAAAATGATAGATATATATAGGGTTCATCTAAATTTGATATATTATTATTTAATATAAAGCACTCTAAATGGCTTTCGTAAAGAACATTAAAACATCTCCATATTACTCAAGATATCAAGTCAAGTATAGAAGAAGAAGAGAAGGAAAGACTGACTACTACGCCAGAAGAAGACTTGTTCAATAAGACAAGAACAAGTACGATTCAAAGAAGTACAGACTAGTCGTCAGAAGAACCAACAAGAAAATAATCACTCAAATCATCTTCGCCACCATTAAGGGTGATAGAGTCCTCTGCCAAGCTGACTCAAAGGAGCTTAGAAGATACGGTCTTGAGGCTGGTCTTACCAACTATGCTGCTGCTTACTCAACAGGTCTCCTCCTCGCCAGAAGACTCCTTACCCAATTAGGTATGGCTGAGCTCTACAAGGGAATTGAATCAGCTGATGGTGAATTCTTCGATGTCACTGAGAAGGGTGTTAACCAAGACAGAAGACCATTCAAAGCTCTCCTCGATGTTGGTCTTGTTAGAACCACTACTGGTAGCAGAGTCTTCGGTGCTCTCAAGGGTGCTGTTGACGGAGGTATCTACGTTCCCCACAACACCAAGAGATTCCCAGGATATCATCTCGAGAAGGCTGCAGCCCAAACCGGTAAGAGAGGTAAAGTCGTTGCTAAGGGTAAAGCTGTCGGTACCTACAACGCCAAGGAACACAGAGATCACATCTTGGGTCTCCACGTCCAAACCTATATGGACAAGCTCAAGAAGGAAGATGAGGGAAGATTCAAGAGACAATTCAGCAAGTGGTCTGCTAACCTCCAAAGCGCTAAAGTTGCCAACGTTGAAGGTCTTTACAAAAAAGTCCACTCAGAAATCAGAAAATCTCCAGTCAGAGTTAAGGCCGAGAGAAAGAACGCTGTTGTCAGAAAGCAAATCTCAAAGGAGAACGGTTCCCTTGTCCAACAAGACTCCAAGGGAAGAAAGTGGCTCAGACAATTCAAACTCACCAAAGCTCAAAGAACTACCAGAGTTGCCGCTAAGATCCAAAAGGCTCTCTCCAAGAAATGAGTAGAACAAAGACCACTTCTATGAGTGCAATCTTATCTTTTATAAAAATTAAGCAAAATGTTAATTTATTATCGTACAATAAGCATGTTCATTCCATCTCATTCATATACTCTCAAAATTTATATCTATTCACATATCTTGGGGTTTTGGGGTTTTGGGGTTTTGGGGTT